CAATGTTACTTTGTATCCATCTCCCTCTGATCAATGTTTATGCACAAGTTAATAAAAAAATTTTATAGCAGCTATTACAGTGACACTAACCTCAGGAGTTATATCTTAAGAATGCATTCAAGTACCTTATTAACAATGAGGGGAATTTATCAAAACTGGAAGAGACGAAATCTGGAGCAGCTATGCAGGGCAAACAATCAGCTTCTCTCTTTCATTTTAAAATTTTAATTAAACAAACTGGAGAGATGCTGATGGTTGCCCTGGGTAACTGCTCCAGATTATCTGCTCTATTTTTGATAAATCCCACATTGTATCTTATTTGTGTATCACTCGGCTGTAAATACTCCAATCATCTCTGAATTGGTGCTGACACTGTCCTTCCTTCTGGAGAGGGGGCTACGTTTGTCCCCCATGGTCCCTGTGTGTTGTAAAGTAGTCACCGCTCCAAGAGATGTATGTCCTACCACTGACCCACTGAACACACAATGCCCAGAGTACATTGTAAAGACAGCACTTATAAGAGATTGTGCCTCAGTAAATGCGTTCCCCTGCCCGTCATCCTCTCATGTACTAGCAGAGCACCCAAGCTGGTGAACAGATGCAGACAGGAAATAAAGATGAAAGTCCCATGTATACAGTACAACTATGTGGAAGTGGCTTCATACCACATGACAATACCAACGGGTGCAGTGTTGAGACCAAGTGTTCTCATCTGAAGAAACTTCAGCACTTGGCATACATCAATAATCTGTATGGCTTTGTATACCACTAGAGCATGCCGTGTGCATGTAAGTATCCGCCAGGAAGAGTCGTGACCAAGAAGAAGATCAGGTCTCAGAACCAAACGGGATACATCTAACCCACACATGTGCTACAAAATTACATTCCCTTCCCTCTATATCAGTACAACAATCCAATTCCAATATCCTACAACACCCATAACAATCATGAAACAGCAGACCCCTATACTGTGTCTATGTATGCAGGCATACAAAACATATACATACACACACGGCACAAGTGTGTGTGTGTGTGTGTGTGTGTGTGTGTGTGTG